ATATTTTTTTTTTAAAAAAAAAAGAACGTATTCCTGACAGTACTGATGGTTAATTCTCTTGGCTGCTACCTGGGTGTTCAAGTGATCTCAGAAGCAAATAAAAATAAAGATCTCTCATCAATTTTCTAAGGTGCTCTGCTGGCTTAATGGTAAAGAATATCACTACCAACCTAAAGTCACCTGGTTCGAATTCATCAGTTGCCCTGCAGGAAAAAGATGGACAGTTTCCCCCATGAGATTAACTGGCTCTGAAAACCCACTGAAGGGACTGCTTTTAGTCAGTTCCGACTTGACAGGACATAACAACCACACTAACTTCTGAAAAATTAGCTATTGAAAACCCTCTTTGGCATTGTTCTGTGGCTACCCGGACACACATGAAGCAGCCATGAGTGCAAACTGATGCTGTGGAAACTTTTTGTTTGCTTATTTTATATAGAAAACTGCAAAGGTTTTTATTGTATCCCCCCTGCCACAAAACTTAGTTTCTCGGTTTAAAGTTCAAAATTCCATGAAAGCTCCATCTTTATTAATGAAATTTTCTTTTTGCAACTAAATTACTAACAGTGACAGAATAGTGCTGTCTTTCACAAATTAAAGTTACGGTGGGGTACCTAGTTTGGAATGAAAGTAAAGCAAGAATACTCCTCAGAGTCGTGGAGGGACTGCCTCTCCCATTGCTGCTGAGTTCAGTCAGAACGGACTCGTAGCTGATCTCAGTGGAACAGGAGTAGATTGCCCATTTTTCTCCCAAGGAGTAGCTGGATATTTGAACCGCTTGCCTTTGCGTTGGCAGCACAATTTTCACTACCAACGTGTCATTGTGTGACCTGGGCTATGGCTGAGTAAGGAAAATTGTGATTTGTAGATAATCTATTTTTTTGGTTTTCGTGGTTTGTTTTTTGGTTTTTTTTTAAAGCTACCATTTTGCTGACTGTTGTTTCAATTTCAAGAAATATAGTGGTCTAATATGCTACTTTTTTGAACTGACAGTTGGCAATTTATATCTGCCAACTGCTCCTCAGAAGCAAGATGAGGGATTTCTACTGCAATTCAGATTTACATTCTTGGAAATGTAGTGGGGGGCTGCCATCGGTCAGAGTCAATTTATCAACAATGGATTTGGTTGGTGGGTTCTAGTCTAATTAAAACATGCAATATTTCCCTCCTTTTCTTGGCGGTGGTTGGGTGTGTGGTCCCGGTCCCTGTTATGTACGGAGGCAAAGGGAGAAGGCTCCGGCCCCCTTGGCGTCATGTCTTCGGTGCCGATGGCTTCCTGTTCGCTGGTTTTATCCTCAAGCAGCGAGACAAAGTGGGGGGAGGGAAACCAGAAAACACCCCATGCAATATTTATTGGTGGATAGCTTTCATTCCTGCAAATACCAAGGTAACTGTAAAGTGAATGAGAAAATTTTTTCATTATTTTAAGACTAAAGAGGTGTATCAGGAATTTTTCTTAGGATACATATGGTGTGGATACGATTTTCTTTTAAGTATGTTATCTGTCCCACAAGTGTATGAGTTTAAAGATTGCAGTGTTATACATGAGTCTTCCAGACATTAAGTGAAAGGAAGTGCATAGTGTGTTAACAACAAATCCTGGGCATAATTTATAATTTTTAAATTATGATTATTTCTTCTATTTGATCTATTGAGATTTTACAGTTCTAGAACATTCGAATTTGATTGTTCATAGTGAGATTGCTTACCAATCCAGTAGTGATCCTGAAGTCTGCAGAATTAACATTCATACTTCATTATTTTCTTTCACTTGGAAATAGTCTCAAAATGTTGCCTCCAAAGTATGAATTCGTAAAGAAAGGTGAAAGTGAACTGTGCGCTGTTACCCTCTTCTTTCTTCTTTCCTTTGACATCTTACATATCAGAATGTGCTTAGTTTGTCAATTTACAAATGTGGAAGCCAATGTCTTTGTTTAAACCAATAACACATATGAATGGTAAAGTTTTGTGAACTCTTACTCAAGTGAGGTCAGAAGGAGCAGGAACTCTCAGGATATAAATAGTTGAAGAATTGGAATGTAAGTTTGTCAGCCCTTTGTTGTGGCTCCCCTCATCTGCTCCGGCTGAGGATCCTGTTCCTTCTGCTTATACTTGAAATTGTTGGTGATAAGATCAGCTTCTATCTGTCCCCAAGCTCTCACCTAATCCAGTTTACCATGGTGTGGTGGCGGTGGTGGGGTCCAGGGGGCCTTGGCCTTGAGATTTCCGTCAAGGTCCATCTAATCAAGTGAAGCAAACAACGTTTTTCATTTGCCCTATTCCTGGAGCTGCCTCTGCTGCTGCTGCTGCTGCTGCTGCTGCTTAGAAATTGCCATGCAATTTAAAAATGAAAAATGTCTCATCTCTCGTGATCCCAATTTATAATGGTTAGGAATGTGGGCCAAGAGTTTTCCCAGCGACTCTTGGATTTTTCCCAGTTGTCCTATCTCATTTGCCTGATGTTGGAAAGGAAAAGGAAGGAAGCCAGTGGATTTCTCTGTTATCCCCCTGTCCCCACTGCCTTGCTCCCACCCCGTTTACCTCTTCTCTTCTTTGTCGCAGATGGAAAGTTGTATTCAGCCACAGTGACGGACTTCCTCGCCATTGATGCTGTCATTTACCGGAGTCTCGGAGACAGCCCAACCCTGAGAACTGTCAAGCACGATTCAAAATGGTTGAAAGGTGAACAAACAATTAAAAGGAGAAACGAATAGAGATGAGAGAAATGCAGGTCTTGTGGGATAGCTAGAATCTGTAAGGACCAGACCATAGTTTCATTTTAGTAATGACTCCTGACAGACAAGAAGGTGTAAATTGCATCTTTTACCTCAGCTGATTTATTTGCCTTCTTTTTTCCTTTCCCATGAGTTTCTGCAGTATTAACAAAACTACCAATACCACGACAATAGAATGCATTACATTCATCTTTCCTTGCTTCCAAATCTCATTTTAGTGTCCCACATGAAAAGAAGTGAGCAGTTCTTTCATGGAAGGAGACAGGGGGTTGAAGGCTATGGGGAAATGCAAGAAAAGCTATTCAAAACCCTGAATGAGTCAGAGTTGACAAGGAGATGTGTTATACAAAATCTTTGCTATAATAAGGTGATTCCATTGTGGAAAATAAAATTACAGATATATGCAAAACTCATTTATTCTTCATTGTTGATTGTAATGACTTCTGAAGGGTATAATTTGTAGGCTCAGATGCCTTATGAAATCACCAAGGAGCAGAGTGTATGAAGTCATTACACACAGTCCTGATAACCAATCTTTAATGGCCCTATACTTTCAATTAATAAATTAATTCAACTTGATTGAACTTGGCCATTGATTGCAGTTTTCCCTTTAATTCTGCTTGACATGTCCCCAATTAATGTGCTTATTTGTCTGCAGAGCCATATTTCGTCCAAGCAGTGGATTATGGAGACTACATCTACTTCTTCTTCAGGGAGATAGCTGTGGAGTACAACACCATGGGGAAGGTGAGAGGGGGCAGCTCTAGCTTCCTTCCTGATATTTTCAGAAAAGCCACACTGGGGATGATGTTGTTCTGAATGGCCTTGAAATAAGAATCATGAATCTTAATAATAGGGCCATAATTTTGAGGTGATCAAGTCACAATATTGTACTGTCTTAAAGGCCTATGTCTTTTTCCTTTTAAAATGTATTGTGGTGGTTGTTGTGTTCCTTCATGTCAGAATTGACCCATAACTGACCCTCCATAAGGTTGTCAGAGGCAGTAAATCATTCGGGAGGAGATGACCCATCTCTCTATTTATATATTTGCTCTGGGGAAAGCTGCTGTCAGGGACCTCTCCAAAGTGCTGACAAGCAAGAGTGTCAGTCTGGAGACTAAGATGCTCCTGATCCAGGCCATGGTCTTTGCAATTATATTGTTATGCCTGAGCATAGCAGAGAACTGGACAATGACTACAGCTGACAGAAGAATTATTGATGCCTTTGAGCTGTGGTACTGGAGAAGAGTATTGAATATACCATGGACTGCCAAGAGAACAAACAGGTTTAACCTGGAGAGGGTGAAGCCAGGCTGCTCCTTGGAGGCAAGCATTTAGAAGATCTGTCTTCATGTACTTTGGGCACATGGCCAGAAGGGACCAACCCCTGGAGAAAGATATCATGCTTAAACGGATGAAGGGACAGCACAGGAGAGGGAAACCCTGGATGAGATGGATTGACACAGTAATTGGAATAATGGTTGTGGGTGTGTTGGAGACAGTGAGACTTGGTCAGGATAGAGCAGAGTTCAGAGTTACTGTATATAGAGTCGCTATAAATTTCAGATGACTTGATGGCAGATAACAACATATGAGAGAGAAATCAAACTCAACTCATTGCCATGAAGTCATAACAGACTCACAGCTGACCCTCTAGCAGGTTTTTAGAGACTGTAAATCACATGGGAGGAGACTACCCATCTTTTTCCTATGAAGCAGCTTTTTTGAACCACTTGCCTTTGGGCTGGCTATAGAGCTTCTTATCATTAGGCCACCAGATATATATATATATATATATGAAAAACTTTCATAGTGACCATTTTTTAAATGTATCATTCAGTGTTACTACGATATTTACCGTGTCGTACAACCATCACTGTTCTCCTTTTCCAGAAGTATGGTTCTGGGCTTTTGAAAAATTTTTTTGTTTATTTATAAAGTTTGAATACATTGTTTTTCCAAACAGAAACTCTGCATCTTTTAAGCACAACTTCCATCCCCTGCTTCCCACAACATCTCCCACCCATTGTCAATGAGTCAGTTCTGACTCATGATGACCCTCTAGTGGGTTTCCAAGCCAGTAAATCTTTGTGGGAGGAGACTGTCCATCTAAGGAGCACCTAGTGGATTCGAACTGCCAACGTTTCAGTTAGCCCCACACATGTCACACTAATAATAAACTTTCATCTCTGCTTTTCCAAAATAGTAGCAGGTTACTGGACACCTCTTAAATCTTTCTCTTGAAAATTTGATTGACTTCATATTGAATTTTAGATAGCCTAAGGTTTGGTTTCCAGGCATAATCAACAGCTTTTTCTTTTTAATTGAGTTGTTGGTACAGAGAGAGAGTGACTATCTAGTAAGAAAAGCTAAAAATCTTGTATTTTGTCTCTATTGCAAAATACAGAAGAACACTTAGGGGATTACAATTCAGCGTTTTGTTTTTTACGAGAGAGAGCTGATCAAGGTCACTAAGGTAGAAAGCATATATAAAATATCCAATGGCTTGCATAGCTGGAGGGATGCACACTTGGAAGAAGAGATTCAGGGCCTATGGACAGCCAGTGAGGAGATGATGCATGCAAAGTGTGCTTTTGTTTGTGGAAATAAAAAGCTAAGCAGTCTGTATGGAAATGAGTTTATGTGGCTGGGAGCTGATCCCCTGAAGGATTTATGACTCCGTACTAAATGCCACCGCCTTATCTTTTAAAACATGCTGTTCCAGTGCTGTCTTTCTCTCTTCTCTCTCTTTTTTATTTTTTTTTAAATTTTGCTATGGATTTTAGAAATAGAGGATAAAATTAAGCACCTTTTTGTTCTGTGTTTATGTTCAAGGAAAGGCAGATTCTACTACAATCTCCGTCAAAAGTGTGTACATTCCGTTTTCTCTGTATGGTTTTCCTCTGCAGGTCGTTTTCCCGAGAGTGGCTCAGGTTTGCAAGAACGACATGGGAGGGTCACAGAGAGTGCTGGAAAAACAATGGACATCTTTTCTAAAGGCACGTCTGAACTGCTCTGTTCCTGGAGACTCTCATTTTTATTTCAACATACTCCAGGCAGTTACAGATGTGATCCGCATCAATGGCCGTGACGTTGTCCTGGCAACATTTTCCACACCTTATAACAGGTAACCGTGCCCTGGCTGTGTTGACCTAATCCATTCTTCCCGTCTTCCTTTTCCCAGGAGTTCCTTTGAATATGCAATATTCATAACTGACAGAAGAGTTACTACTTGTTATTTGTATCTAGGAGGAGCTTATTTAACATTGTTTCCCCTAATAAATAACAGTATAAGCATTATTAGATTAGACTTTATGAAAGTAATGAAGTAAATTATAAAAAGAACTTACTTAGATGCCTGGTATCTAAACCCTTTATGAAAGTAATGAAGTAAATTATAAAAAGAACTTACTTAGATGCCTGGTATCTAAACCCTCTGCACACATTACTTCTAAACCCTAATAATCTAGGAGAGTGGAGACTGTCGTCTTCTTTTCACATGAAGGAAACCTAGCTCAGAATTCCTGGTCCAAATAGCCCATGTAAGGAAGAATATGCTTTGGAATTCCAGACTTTCTCTCTTGTCTCTTCCAGCACACCTAACTTCGTGTTTGATCATTAATATTTCTATGACTGGATGGGTGATTTTTTAAGTAAAACACTGGAAATTTTTTAAGATAATGTAGGGTGAAATTCAGGAATCAGATGACTTCATCTTCCTTTCCACCTTAGGTACCCTGGTTCTTGATTTGTTAGAGGAAATGATCTTCAGAGGGTGTGTGTGTGTGTGTGTGTGTAAATATGATATAGATATTAATATATAGAAAAAAATACATATATATAGGTATACATGTAAGGTACTGAGGAGCAGTGATGTCAGTCTGGAGACTAAGGTGCGCCTGATACAGGCCATGGTCTTTGCAATCACTTGCTATGCATCAGAGAGCTGGAACTGTGGTGCTGGAGAAGAGTATTGAATACACCATGGACTGCTAGGAGAACAAACAAGTTCATCCTGGAGAGGATAAAAGCAGGCTGCTCCTTGGAGACAAGGATTCTGAAGCTCTTTCTGACATATTTTGGACATGTTGCAAGGCAGGATTAGTCCTTGGGGAGGGATGTCATGCCTGGGAAGGTATAGGGACAGTGCAGGAGAGAAAGACCCTCAATGAGATGGATTAATTCCATCACTGGGGCAATGAGGATAGGTGTGTCAGTAACAATAAGATTGCAAAGGATAGTGCAAGGTTTAGGGCTGTTGTACAAAAGGATTACTATGAGTTGCAAGGAACTCAACAGCACATAACAACAACATACGTATGTCAAGTAGGAGCCAACTCACACAGTATTTGAATTACAAGCCTTTGGATTGGAAGCAAAATGCCTCACCAGTAAGCTACCAGAGCTTCCTAATATCTAATACATACATAAAATACATATTATATATTAACAGTGCTCTGGAGGCATAGTTAATAGGAAGTTGCACTGCTAACCCAAGAGGCACGACTCTAGAGGTTCAAAGCAGCCAGTGGCTCCATAGGAGAAAGATGGGCAATCACCTTCCATGTAGTTTACAGCCTTTAAAAACCTGCAGGAGGGTCACTATGAGTTAGTTCTGACTCATTAGCAAAGAAGACTTGATTTATTTGAGTTGTGGTGCTGGAAAAGAGTATTGAACCTACGGTGGACTACCAAGAGAATTCCAGATATGTCTTGGAGAGGGTGAAACCAAGCTGCTCTTTGGATGCAGGGATTTTGAGGGTCTGTCTTAGACTTTGGGCATGTTACCAGAAGGTCCCAGTCCTTGGAGAAGGACGTGACATTTGGAAAGGTGGAAGAACAGCTCAGGAGTGGAAGATCCCTTTAGAGGAAGAATCCTAGAGCAGGGTTCAGAGCTATTGTACATAACCTTGCTTTGAGTCATAGTTGACTTGATGGCACATAACAACAACAACAACATATTACACAGACATCTGTACAGTGGAATATTTTTCAGCCATAAAGGAAAAGGAGTTCTGGTACGAATCAACCTTGAAAACATTGTGCTACATCAAACACAAAAAGAAAAATACAGTGTGATTCTAAAGTCAGTATCTAGAATAAGCAAAAGCTTAGAAGTAAAAGGAGATAGTTGTTATTGTTATGTGCCATCCACTTCATGAACTAGCTCTGAACTTTACCCTATCCTGAGCCAACTTCACAATCTCTGTCACACCTAACCCCATTGCCACAGTCACTGTGTCAATCCATCTCATCCAGGGTCTTTCTCTCTTTTCACTGACCTTCTACCTTTCCAAGGATAATATCCTTTTCCAAGGATTGGTCCCTCCTGGCAGCATGCCCAAAGATAGAGTTTCAAAATCCTAGCTCCCGAGACCAGTACAATTTATGAGTGTTTGTCTGATACATCTTTCTAACTTGTGTGTGTGTGTGTGTGTGTGTGTGTGTGTGTGAGGGTGAGGGGTGGTTAGTATGTAATTACTTTATGGAAACAGGTTCCTGAGTGTTGTAGATGCTCCATTTAAAGTATTTTCTGAAAAGATCCTTGCAAAGAATCCCCTTAGTACATGCGTATGTAGTCTCAGGGAAGCTATTTGTTTGACAAAATCACAAAGTGATTTCCTATCATCTGCATTGATTTTCATCCATAAACTATAGTCCCTCTGTGGATTTAATTCCCCACATCTCCTCATTCTCCACGCCTTCTTCAACACATGCAAACTTTGTCTTATCAGATTATTTCATATCCCTTAGAGCCTTCTCTTTTCCCTGAGGAGAAATCTCAAGTTTCATGGTGTCACATCCAAATCCCTTTATGGCCTGACCTCATCTCTTCCTCCAGCTCATCTCACTCCATCACCATCCGTGTTACAGCCCTGTTACAGCACAGAGTCATTTCTTCAATTGCCATGCTTTGCGCATGGTCTCTTCTCTGCCCAGGCTGCTCTCCAGTCTCCATCTGCCCAGGGAGGTCCCAAGGCTGTACCAGGTCTCAGCTCCAGAGTCCATTCCCATGGGACTTTGTGCAAGCTTCTTTTCTATATACTACTCCTTCCAGACTGTCCTTGAGTTGTTGTATTTATTATCCTATTTGCCTCAATAGTGAACTCTATAGGAACTCTCTGTTATTCTTGTGGCATTTATTGATTGGAACATATTGAAGATTCCATAAATAAATATATCCAAAAATACATATTTCATAAATAATGCTGGTGTTCTGAAATTTACAGATAAATGAAGACCACGGTTTCATATACTCAGTTCTATGAATTATATATATAATGCATACTTTATAAAAAGATAATCCTTTAAATTTTCTCTATTAATCCTTCCACCTTGTTTTAAATAAGCTTTTTATCCTCTCCCTACTTCTGGCTTTATTAGTAATACTTCGATAATTGTGTTATGAAATTAAAGATGGCATATAATTCTTCAAGCTATTTGAGAAGTGATTTCGATATCCTTTCAACATATGCAAAATCCAGACTAAATTGTTTCCTCTGCCCCAGATCATGTTCCCACAAACTAAAGCACCTGTGTCTCTGATCCAGGGTGCTCTTGGAATGGAGCAGTCCGCTATCTCAAAACCAGGCAGCTCTTGGACACTATTTCCACCATTTATTTTATCAAAATCAAGTAGCTCCCCTCATCAAAATTAAACATGGGTTCAAATGTAAACAGCGTACACAGAAGAATGAATAATTTATGCCTTCCCACCATTGATGGAAAAAAAATCTTCCCTAAGTCCTGCCAGAAGTGTCAGGGAAGGAGGTAATTATAAGTATAGTTTACCATCATTATTATAAGTTAGGACTTTGTAGAGTATTTATTTGCAAAGCACTGGTGCTTTAGACTTATGTGAATAAACAAGATATAAAAATGTATATGTACCCTTATTAGTATATATATATATATTCTTCCCACAAAACTTTCTCACACTCTGAGTTCTTAGCTTACAAAATCAAGTTCAAATGGCATTATGTGGACAGTGAGGGGATTTTCATTTCAAATTTTCACCAGTTTTCAAGATGTAGAATGTGCTCCAGAGGTTTTTAATCTTTAGATTATTATTGATGATCATTAATACCAGGGAATTGACAGAAATTCTAATCATCAGCTCAACAATTCTGCTTTTATAAACCACCATCTCCAGAGAGAGAGTGAAGACATGAAAGAGCTCCCTTCATTTTCCTTTAATGAAATTAGCCCTTGCTTAAATGCCAGTGATACATCTTTAGTTGAAAGCATTCTTTTTAGGGTCTGTGACCTTCGGAGTCTGCTTCCCAAAGTGTATATGTAACTGCTGAGTCACTATTTTTGTGTGAAATGTTACGTTGCAGCATTCCTGGGTCTGCAGTCTGTGCCTATGACATGATCGACATTGCCAATGTGTTTACTGGGAGATTCAAGGAGCAGAAGTCTCCAGATTCTACATGGACACCAGTTCCTGATGAACGCGTGCCTAAGCCCAGGTAAATATGAATATTCATAAGGCAATTTTAAACTTCTAGATGGGGTGAGCTTTGTCTGTGCCTTCGACGCTAGCCACACAAGTGCCCACGCTAGAAGATTGAAAGGATTGCCAGGCCATTTGCTTTCATCCTCTTAATAAATAAACCCTAGATTTACCTGTATTTCTGAGTAAATCCAGATTTACCCAGATACTTGTTCAAAACAACAGCTCTCCGCTTTTGCTTTTTTGTAGTTTCCACAGTAATCTCAAAATGAGAAGAATCATGTGGTTCAATCAGCCCCATTGGCCTCTACTGTAGTTAGGTGCTCTTAAACAGAATACTTCTAATAACCATCATTTGGACAACAGATCAAAACTTAGCTTTGTCCTGCATCATCTTCATGATCTCCAGCATGCCTAAACCCATTATTGTAGTCAGTGTGTCATTTTATCTTGTTGAAAGTCTTCCTCTCTTTTCTTGATTCTATGTTATTGTTGTTATGTGCCTTCGAGTCAACTATGACTCATAGTAGTCCTATGAAATAGCTCTGAACCCTGCCCTATCTTGAGCCAGTCTCACTGTCTGACACTCCTACCCCCATTGTCATAGTCACTGTGTCATTCCTTCTCATCCAGTGTCTTCTTATCCTGCCTTGACCCTCTACCTTCCCAAAAATGATGTCCTTTTCCAAGGACTAGTCCTCTTGGCAACATGCCCATGGTATGTGAGACAGAGCTTCAAAATCCTTGTCTCCAAGAAGCAATTTAGTTTCACCCTCTCCAGGAGAGACCTGTTTGTTTTCTTGGCAGTCCATGGTATGTTCAAGACTCTCCTCTGGCACCACAACTTAAAGGCATCTCTTCTTCTATCATCCTAGTCATTGTCCAGCTTTTAGACGCACTGCAAATAACTGAGAAGACCATGCAGGGATAAGGCAAACCTTGGTTTCTAGACTAATATTTTTGCTCTTTAGCACTCTTGAGAGGTCCTTGACAACAGACTTTCCTAAATCAGCTCGTCTTCTGATTTTTCTGACTGCTAGTGCCAAGAGTGTTGATTGTGGATCCAAGCAAGATGCAATTTTTAACACCCTCAATCTTTTCTCCATATATCATGATGTTACCTATCAACCTGGTGGTGAGAATTTTTTTTTCTTGATGTTGAGATGCAATCCATACTGAAGAATACAGTCCTTCACACCTTTTGTAGTAAACACTTCAAGGTTGTGACATCTGCATATTGTAGGTTATTGATGAGTTTTCCTCTAATCCTGACACAACATGCTTCTTCATAAATTCTCCTGAATAATCTGTTCCACATATAGATCATAAAGGTTTGGAGAAAGGATAGATCCCTGATACACCCCTTTCTTGATTTCGAACCAATCAGTGTTCCATTGTTCTGTTCCTACAGCAATTTCCTTATTCCCATTCTTCTCAAAGTTAGCCACAATTTGTTGTGATCTACTCAGTTAAATGCCTTGTCATGCTCGATAAAACACAAATAGACATTCTTCTGGTACTCTTAAGCTTTCAGCCAAGATCTGTCTGACATTGGCAATGCTATCCCTAGTTCCACGGCCTCTTCTAAACCCAGCCTGTATTTCTGGAAGTTTTCTGTTAGTGTACTGTCATTTCTAGATAATCTTCAACAAAATTTTTCTTGCATGTGATAATGTAATATTGTTTGATAGTATCCACCTTCTTTTGTAATGAGAATAAATATGAATCTCCTCTAGCCAGCAAAGTAGTTGTCCACCAAATTTCTTGGCACAGTCCAGTAAGCACATTCTGGGCTGAATCTTTTTGTTAAACTATGTCAGTTGGTGTTCAATCAATTCCTGTGGTCTTATTTTTTTGCCAGTTCCTTCAGAACAGCTTGAACTTCCTCCTTCATTGCCCGTGCTTCTTGATCATATCCTGTTTCATGAAATTGTTCTGTGTTGGCCAATGCTTTTTTGGTACAGTGACCCTACGCACTCCTTCCATCTTCTTTTGATGCTTCCTGGATCATTCAGTTTCTGGCCAAGCACCTTTAAGTATTGCCATTCGATGCATGAATTTGCTCTTCAGTTCCTTCAGCTTCATAAACGCTGAGCAAGTTTATCCCTTTTGAATCTCTGACTCCAGCTCTTTGCTCATTTCATTATAATACTTTGCTTTGTCTTCCTGAGCTGCCCATTGAAATCTTATGTTCAGCTCTTTAACTTACTGATTTCTTTAATTTGTTGACCCTGTCAAAGATGAAAATGTGGAAAAGTGCATTTTTTAAGTCTATGAGGTTGGGTCAGTTATGTCTATTTTTCCTCCAAGCCTCCATTCAATTGTAGAGAGACCCATCAGCCCTTGTGGTGTAATAGTTAAAGTGCCTGGTTGCTAACTGAAAGTTTGGAAGTTAAAATTCATCCAGCAGTTCCGTGAGAGACAGTCCTGCCAGTCTGCTCCTGTAAAGACTGCAATGTGGAAAATCCTCTGGGCAGTTCTGCTACAGCAGTTGATTTACATATCAATTAAGGATTGTCTTACATATCTCATAATGTGAGTTATATGTGTTTCCCCTTAGATCTTATGACCCATCCAGGTTTGAACTGAGACCAAGACTCTCAGCTGAGTGCAGGAGGAAGCCAGCAGGTCCAGTGGATCATTAGGGCATCTCTAGTCCACCAGATTCTGGTCTGGTTCATGTCTGGTGCAGGGTCCATTTCTCTCCAGTCCATTTCTCACCTTAAAATTGCTTTCCTAGGGAACCTTTGGTAAACTATATAGACTTCTTAGTCTTAGGCCTATAGCTCCTTCATTTCTTCAAACTTAGTACAGTTGTTCAGACCAAGTCAGGAATGGGATCCTCACCCCCACTCTGTGTCTGCCTTCCCTAGGTCACACACATTCCCATCCCTTCACTGCAGCCCCTACAGTCTGAGTTACACAGAAACAGCCGTGTGTGGCTGTTGTCCCCAGTGAGTTTTCGAGCCTCTGGAAGGGAGCCCAGTCATTTATTATTTTGTGTTTTTGCTTCCAGTTTCCTCCCTCAACCTCAGATCTCCCATATAAATTACCTAGTCCAGTGCATTTAAATAATTTTAGATCATCGGAACCTCTGTACTTGGTGTAGAAACCCTTGTGATTTCTACATCTTTTATCACCTGAATTATCTCACATGTTCACACTGTATTGCTTATGGATAGCAGGCTAGGTACAGAAATCACACAAAGTTAACCTCATTCACTTTACAAGTAAGTGCATGGGATCAAAGGCACTGCCTTATTTTAGCTACATTCTAGATAATCAGGAAGCAGAGCTAAGCCTGCAGGGCCAGATATTGGAGAGTACTGATATAATAAAAATCTCTGCATGTAAAGATGCTGTCACTCAGACACAGCAGTCAGAGAGCCCACTGAAAGGGGTTTTCTCACCATGTTGTGGGTTGACCTTGATCTTCAAAGACACCAGGAGTCTTTGGAATTGACCATCAGGAAACATGTTCACCAATTTTTGGTAACTCGATGTGTGTCGGAATAGAATTGTGCTCTGTAAGGTAATCAGTGGCTGATTTTTAAGAATATTCTTCATTAGTGCTTCTGAGTGGACTTGAACTTTCATTTAGCAGCCAAAAATGAACCGCCCAGAGATGCCTAACACCCTTACGCAGAATAGAGGAGTGTCTCTGGGGCCCAGCTCCTTTTCTGTGCCCAGGAGAAAGCCAGTCATCTGTAGATAGGACTCACTCATGTATTTTCATAGTTTGAATGTAGTGGGATTTTTCTTGCCCCCTGAACCCATAAAAACTTTTGTAGAAGTGGATTTCCATTTTCTTTATTCAGTTACCTGTTTGGAAACAAACTATAAGGAAATATTCTTTAATATAATTTGTTTTTTCATACCTGCTGCAGTCAGGCAAACATCACATCCACACATTGCATCTTGTTCATCTGTACCCTTAAAATGTCTACACTTGTGAGGAAACCAACTCTGCTCTTGTCCTTCGTGGAACAAATGCCTGAGGCCTGTGACAGGGTTTGGGATGAGTAGTGAAGTTCCTGAGACATGTGAGAACCACGCACTTGTTCACTTGTTTCAGGCTCCAACACTGTTTACTGGGGTTTATTTGTGCTTCTGGGCGGAAGCCAAGCTGCCCCTGGCTGAGGCTCCCTCTCGAATGAGGAGGCGTCCCAGAGGAAATCTAAGCATGTTTTATTTGATGGCATTCAGCATTGTTCAACTTCCTCTTGTAGCCTGTGGTACATTCTCCCTCATGCCAGATGCTTAGCGAAGCAATTCATTCAAAGATTTTGCCATAAGGCATGAAATAAGCTCCCTCCCTCCCCCTTGTTTCATTTTAGGCCAGGATGCTGCGCTGGCTCATCCTCCTTAGAAAAATATGCATCCTCCAATGAGTTTCCTGATGACACCCTCAACTTCATTAAGACACACCCACTCATGGATGAAGCCGTGCCTTCCATTATCAACAGGCCGTGGTTCCTGAGAACAATGGTCAGGTAGGTGGCAAGCAAACCAGGTCCAAAGTGAATTCCCCTGCCTCCTTCTTATGCAGTAAAACCAACCATGTTTGAAATGCCATAAACATCTTCTGTTATCCTGGGCATTGAGTCAGCTATGAAATGCTGAAAGATTGAATGGATGCCATCAAACCCTCATAGCCACATTTCCAATGGTGTTATATTCTGTTGTTCCAAGTGGGTTGGACACTTGCCAACTTTTAGAGGAAATAACTATTTCCTTCCGGGTTAGCCCATCAATGCCATCTGTGCAAAAATTGAGGAAAAATGGAGAATCAGTCAGTACCTGTTTGTATCAGGGTCTTATTGGCTCAATGATTGTACAGGGATCCCTGGGTTGTTAGCTGTCAAATGGAGCTTGGATGTTACATTTATACTAATAGGCCGGCAAGATGGATGCATATACATTCAGTGGTGGCCACCAGATAAGGGATAGCTGATTAGTCTGCAATATTATGAAAATACTTACACCTCTTAAGAACTTATTTATAAAATGTACAAAAAGTTTTCGCAAATATATCTAAGTGTGGTTGTTATCAAGTAAGATGTTAATTATAATTAAATCCTTCTTTTTTTTTATCCAATAGAGGCGTGATCTTCTTGTAGACTTGCTATACAAACTAAAAGATCTAAAACACCACTTTAATTTCTCATGACTTTATTGGCAGGTGTTCAAATACTAGGCTCTTATCCACTTGATGTATAAAACCAGCATAGGGTCCATGATGTATAAAACCTGCTTAGGGTCCATGTTTGCTATTTCCTGTTATAGTACTTTGGAGAAATGGGTATCTATGGAAATAGCGAATGATCAAAAGATGTAAGGAAAAAAAGATGGCTGATGATACTTATTCTAAGCTCATAGCTTTCTGTCCATCCTGTTTATTGGTAAACCCTAATGGTTAGTGGAGGTATACCAGCTCTTCACCTTCCCATCCTTCAAAACTCTCAACCCTTGCCTGTAGATTTCCAGCCAGACTGTGTTTGCTTAGGTTTTGCACCTCAGAGGGGAGGATAGAGATGTGGTAGTGTTCAGTGAAAGTATCAGCCACTGACCTTCCCTTGTTGGCCACGGCTGGAATAATTGCTGCGTGATCTCGATGACTATGGCTCTCGACTCATGATGGAATTTGGCCTCCACACATTTACCTTTTCCCATTCCTCCCTTTTGGAGTTGTACTAATGCTCTACAGAAGAAAATGAAGGTTCAAACAGTTGGATCATTATTTATATGCTTATGTTTTTAATGATGCTATTATTAAAAAGCTGTGTCACAGTGCTTTGAAGTGGTAAAGAGGAAACTTTCATGGTAGGCCAACAAGTTAAAAAATAATATGTGATCCTGTCATTACAGATACCGCTTGACCAAAATTGCAGTGGACACTGCTGCGGGGCCCTATCAGAATCACACTGTGGTTTTCCTGGGATCAGAGAAGGGAATCATCTTGAAGTTCCTGGCCAGGATAGGAAATAGTGGTTTCCTAAATGACAGCCTTTTCCTGGAGGAGATGAGCGTTTATAACCCTGAAAAGTGAGTGGAATGCTTGGCTCTTTTGTCGTAATTATCCATTATGCTATTATTATTATGCCCACTTTTCATTCAGAGAAAATCAAGGAATACCTGGTTGTATGTGTTACAATTGTATATGTAAGAATATTTTTATTTTTTCAGGTTGGTTTTTTTGTATGTGTGTATTTCATACAGTCCTTCTCATACATTGTGTCTTATAAAATTAATCACCATTGATCTATGCCCACTATCGCCCGATCTTTTCGGATCTCCACTGGATCTTTCCTAATTCCTTTACCCCCTCCCTCCACCCACCAAACTGTGCGACCCTGTGATTCTCCCCTCCCCACTCTAAATCCCTTTCTCTTTACCCCTTTGGATATCTATACACATCTTACTAGTTATTCATCTGTTTTTATGATAATGCTCTTGTTGTTGTTATGTGCCATCGAGTCGTTTCCGACTCATAGCGACCCTATGCACAACAGCTCTAAACCCTGCTCTATCCTGCGCCAACCGCACCGCCTCTGACACACCCATCCCGATTACCCCAGTCACCGAATCAATCCATCTCATAGAGGGTCTTCCCCTCCTGCGCTGTGCCTCCACCCTCCCAAGCATGATGTCCCTCTCCAAGGACCCGTCCCTCCTGGCAACATGTCCAAAGTATGTCAGACGAAGCCCCAGAATCCTTGCCTCCAAAGAGTAGCTTGGTTTAATCCTGCTCCCTAGCCTCTCCCATATTTTTTTTAAATCGTTGCTCCTGAGTGCTGCATAGTATTCCATTGTGTGAATGTTTACTACTTTTTCTCAATCCAGTCATTTGTTGATGGACAGTTGGGCTGTTTCCATCTTCTTGCTACTGTGAATAACTGTGCTATAAATATCACTGTACAAATTTCCATTTCTTCATGTGTCTTTTGACCATTTGAATGTCTTCCTCTGTGAAAAGTCTTTCCATAACTTTTGCCTGTTTTGTAACTGGGTTATCAGTCTTTTCCTTGTAGAAATTCCCAAGGACTCAACAATCAGGACAAATATATTAGACTTAGTAGACCAATTCAGTAGAGTGTAAAAATCTTTTAATACACAGAAACATTATTTTCCCCATGCCAGTAATTGAAATAAGTGTGTGTGCATGTATGCAAAATAATCTCTTTTCTACCTTCAGTTAGATGAAGAGTTAAGAAACCATCTTGTGGGCTGTGAAAATGGTACCAAAAAAGAACTGGCCCAAGAACCTGTAACTGTATTTTGTCTTATATATTAGGTGCAGCTATGATGGAGTAGAAGACAAGAGGATTATGGGTATGCAGCTGGACAAAGCAAGCAGCTCCCTGTACGTTGCATTCTCGACCTGTGTGATCAAAGTTCCCCTTGGCCGGTGTGAGCGTCATGGGAAGTGTAAAAAGTATGTATTTGCCCCATTAACTATTTAGAAAGTTCACAGTGATTAGAAAGGATTCATAGGTAGCTCACTGTCCTCTTCTTCCTGTAGAACCTGCATCGCTTCCAGAGACCCTTATTGTGGGTGGGTAAAGGAAGGAGGTTCTTGTGCCCATCTGTCACCCAATAGCAGGTAAGGAACCCAAGGTGTGGGAGAGGGTAAGATCAGGTGGTTTTGGCTGATAAGCTTTTCAGACCTATAACTATAGACATAGACATAGACATAGACACACACACACACATATATATGTTACATACTCCTCAGTGCCCCCAGCCTCACCAGTGGAACTGCCAGCCGTCCTTGATTTCCCATTTCACAGTTCTCCATAGCACTCCATGTGGCAATTTTCATACTGATTCATCACCCCTAGATTGATTAAAAACACAGAGAAAAGGAAGCATAGGGAGCTTCCAAATATTCTCTGGAGAAACAGACAAGAAGGTGCCTGCCTTGTTCATCACAGTGTAGGAGCAGCAGAGAAAAGAAGCAATAGGACACCAATTAGATTACTGATGCGGTTTGTCCAGTCATAGCAAAAATGGCTCCTCTAATTGACTGTAAGGGGCTGAGGAGAAATTGCAGAGCATTTGTTAAACAGTGTATTTGTACAGTAAGTATGGTGAGTACATTCAATAAACCTTTCTCCAGCACTGAAGAACGGTTGACCCTATTATTCCACAGGCAGTCAATCGACTCTTGGCAATTATCCAGCAGGTCAGCTAGATCAGTGTAGTTTACCAGGCCTCTGATGTTGAGGTTTAAAACAGTTACCCAGGCTCTAAATGCTTAGATGGCCTTAAGAGATTTTTCTTTTCCTATTTGTATTACAGAAGATGTAAAATCTGAAATAACATTTAGAAAAGCAGTTAATAGGGGAGCTCTGGTGGCCTAGTGGCAAGAAGCTGCAACTACAATCCCAGAGGTGCACGGTTCGAATCCACCAAATGCTCTGCCGGGGAAGGAGGGGCAATCTCCTCCTGTACCAGTCAGATCTGATTTGACGGTACACGCACATAAAAATAATAAAATAAAATAAAAAAATTAAAAAAAAAGAAAAGCAGTTAATGTTGTGTCCTTGAGGGGTGGTGGTAATTCAAGGAAGGTTTCCTAGCTCAAAAGGGGCAGACCAACTACCACCTATCACTTTAAGCCTCCTCTCTCCTTTTAACACAACTAAACAACCCAACCAAAAGTCCTAGCTGAAGACCACTACCTGTATAAGTTAGGGATAAGTGTTCCTACAAACAGAACTAATGATAACGATAAAATCTGACCTAGAAATTTGATTAACACAAAGATTCTACCCTAGGATATTAAAATAGCTTTGCAGGTAGCAATACTGTCATACTATGATGTTAGATACTGTTGTTGGGAACGCTCGTGGCCTAGTGATAAGAAACTGCGTTGCCAATCCAAAGGCACATGGTTTGGATCCACCAGGTGCTCCATGGGAGAAAGATGGGCAGTCAACTCCTGTGAGACTTATTTATTACCTCTGAAAACCTATTAGAGAGTTAGCTATGCGTCAGTTCTGACTTGACGGTACACAACAGCTGTTATCCAATGCTAGAGAAAGATCTGCTGGCTTAGTGGTAAGAAGTTATGCTGCTCAACCGAAGGCTCCTGGTTTGGATCCACCAGCTACTCTACAGGACAAAGATAGGCAGTCTCCTCCCATGTGACTCACTGCCTCTGAAAACTCACTGGATGCGTTGGTTCGGACCTGGTGATTCACAGTAACCACCTAATGTTAGGGCCTTATCTAGTTTTGTATGGGAACCCTCGAGTTAAAGGAAGGAAGCATCAGAAAGCACAGTGAGGGAAGCTACAAAATGATTTGGTTCCTGTCTACATTCCAGATGTGACCAAGGCAACCGGACTGATTCCTAAAAACTAGATAGTTTTTTTAAAATCAACCTCTTATGGGTGTGCTTACATATTTCAGTGACACTGAAATGACTCAAAACTTGTGGAATTCCTCTTGGGTAATGGATTTCAAAGCCTGATGAGTATTTGTTTTATTGAAACGAAAAATTTTAATACTCTGGGGAAGAACTTGATTTTTTTTTTTACTATAGCAAGAGACATTGGAAAGCTAGCATGGTGGATTATTAAATCAAGGTGTCACTTTAAAAATGAATTGGTTTTCCCATATGGTTCAGGCTCATAAATAAACTCTAAAGGCAGTTGCAAAAGAGGAATTTCACTCACGTGTGGGAATAAATACAACTTATTTCCCATATAGAAGAGCAGAACTCCTTTGCATGGGTCTAGTGTACTTGTTTTAAAAAATAATAATAGGTAATATTAAAACAGACCTTGTTAATTTTTCATAGCTTTTATAGACCACTATGGTATGCTGGTGGGTATATGGAAACAGTGAGGATAAAGAGATGCTTGAGAGACTCACAAGGGTCATGAGCAGGACTGGGAGTAAGCAAAATATTTAAGTAATCTCAGCAAAATGTATCACCACATCCTACCTCCTCACATCTCCACACATTGCACTGGCCACAAGTGTGGATTAGAGGTTTCTACTTTGACCAGGTTATTGTTTGAAAAAGAAGTAAAACAGGTCAAGGAAGTGGAATGGAAGAGGAAGCAAAGAAGAAAAGACTTCCAATTTTTAACATATAACTCATTGCTGTGAAATTGGAACTGACTCATAGCTGACCCGCCATTGATTTCTGAGGCCGTTTATAATACACAAGAGATTCTCCATCACAGCTACTGGTGGATTTGAACTGCCGGACAGGCATTGGCCTTTCGGTTAACAGCACAACCCCCTTCAGACTAGGCCACCAGAACTCCCTACTTTTTAAAATATTTAGATGTATTGAAAAACAATTTAATGCCCAAGAAGTCAGATTAAAAGAAGTAAATAATCTGTAAACTAAATAATATTTGAGTCAGTTGCTTAAACCATGGCTTTGCTTTGAAAAGTCACACAGAACACATTTCTGTAAACTTCTGAGGTAAAGATTCAACCTGTTATCTAGTTCTCTTTTGCACCTGCCACTAAATTTATCAAGCTATGTTTTCTTTAGTGAACCATAAGACTAATTGTTGAATAATGACTCATATTATTGAATTTGTTTCTTTCTCTCACTTTTTTCCCAAAGGCTGAGTTTTGAACAGGACATAGAACGTGGCAATACAGATGGTCTAGGAGACTGTCATAGTAAGTTAAGCTTTTTACCCATGTTTATCTTTGGGCAAAGTTGCTTTCACAGAATGGCCTGGAAATAATATCCCACATGTGGATTTGAGGGCTGCTGGCGCCAGAACATAAACAAATAATAGAAATCATCTTTTAAATAACAAATTTAATAAATAGTGTATTTTAAAAGCAGTACTGTCAATGTTTTTGCTATGAATGCTGTCAGCCTATTTTGTTATTCTAGTGCTATGGAACACATTCAGCTATAAAGGATATTAATTATAAGAGAGCCGTAAGTTATATCAGCCTTTCCATTACAAAACCAAAGTGCTGCTTTTCAAATATGCTATTTACTACACTGTGAGTTTCCACCAAATGGTAAAAAAATTGATCAGTGCATTCTTGCTTTCTCATTGAATGGGACTGCTTTATTAATCATGTGCATAATTGACTGTTTTAAGTAATTCTTTTTGAAGATTGGATTCATGTCTGTTACCATTTGACAAAGAAAAAAAAATTCCAAAATCACTACAATAACCTTCCAAATAACCTTTTTAAAAGGGAATTAACCTACTATGTAAGCGCAAAGTTTATTTCAAAAGTTTAGTTAGTACTTCATATTAAGGAGCCTAGTCCTGTGCCCTGATTAATATCAGTATTCTGCTGAAATGTTATATTTGTGCTAATTCAGAAAATAATGCCATCCTTCTAGAAGTTCCATTTAGTATTAAGGGTTTTAAATGTTATATATCCTGAATATTAAGAAGGTTGCCTTCAAAGTGGCACCAAAAAACAGGTCCTAAGAGAATAGAACTGTACTAGTTTTGATGTTTGATTCTGTGATGAAAAGCATAGATACATAGTTCTGTACATCTTTGAGCTATAAGTACTGAAATTTCAGACTCTAGGCTACCGTTAATATTTTCTACTATACATATTTTAGAAGTCAGATATAATGAGATAGACAAAGATATATAGGCAGTATTATCTCCACATACATGTGCCTGTGTGTTTGTTTACTAATCGATATTGTCAGAAGTAATGTTCTTATTTATTATATTTTCACATAAAATATTTAGGACTTAAGATAATTAGCATAGCAGACAGTATCATTGCCAAAATAATGTTACTTGTATTTTATCTGAATCTGTGCTTGTGGCTGTTTTAGTTTAAGGCAAAAAAAAGCTGTTGAGTACAGACCATTATGAGACTGGACTGTTCCTTATAGCATAGTTGCAAGGATGTACTGAGAGAGAACATGAGGAGAGGTGCCCTCGGAGAGCGTGGTTGCCCGGATGTACTGAGAGAGCGCGTGAGGAAAAATGCAAGTGTAGTTCACGTGTCGCTTGTCTCATCTACCTACACATCCCCATGTGTGGATGAGAGCTTACAGTCTTTGAATCACATATAATATAATAATAGTTACCACTCCTTCTGCAACTCTTACTTTTTCTCTGCCTTTTGGCAAAGGTGCTGATTTTGAGGAAATACACTTGGAGAAGAGATACAAAGGTGTGAAGGCAGAAAAGTAATTGGACTGAGTAGAAAGTGTCTCATGTTACAAGCAGGAATTAACAAGCACTTCCTTCATATTGGGGACCATATATTAATAGGGCTTTGTATTATTCACTTCCACTGAGTATGTAAATCACACTGAGTATATAAAACATAAAGTAACCTTCTCCTCCCCTTTGTCTTTCAGATTCCTTTGTGGCACTGAATGGTAAGGAAGATATTAGTCTCATACTTTCTATTAGTGACAATCTGTTTAGGAAATTCTGCTTCACTAATCCTCTTGAGTATTTTCAAACTTTGGGTTTCTTCTTTAATTAATTTTTTTATCCTCATTATTTTTTTATAGACATTTCAACTCCTCTACCAGATCATGAAATGTCTTACAACACAGTGTATGGTCAGTTTATGGATTTCCTTCTTTCTTCTTCCTTCTTTTTTAATTTTCTAGTGACTCATCCTGTGATAGTTCATAGTTTTCATTTCTAAACATTATGGGCCAGATTCTTCAGGGTCCCAATTCACTAAAATGATTTTTAGATTTCATTATTGCTTTTAAAAAATCACTCTGCCTTATGAGGCCATTCTGTGAGAGACTGAATAGTATACAATCAACCACAGGGAATTTGAAAAATATATTTAATAATTTCTGGAGGGAGAAGAAAAATTTTTTATATAAGTATACTCAAGAGAGAAGAGTAGTAATTACAACTAATAGACCATAGCTCCTCAGCTATCAGAGAATATCATGTCCCCAAATTCGTACTTTCAAGATAATACAGGGAAAATCTTTAATGAGTTTAAAGTCTTAGTTCCTATAAGACGAAACTACACAATAGAACATGAAATTAACTGTCACAGTTTGAAGTTTATGAGAGTCTGAATATTTAGACATGTTTTCAATACAGTTTCTTCAGAATATATACAAAGAAGAGTGACGCAGTGGAAATGATGTGCAAACAGGATTCAGTCCATTGTGCCTCTTCTGAAATACACAGCTACTATATTAAACAAAGCTAGAAAGTGCATAAACAGAATATTCTGAGCTCTTTATAAGTTGAAATGTAGTTGTTCCACTTACATTTTCATTTACCCACCCTCTCCCCTTATTTATTAGTTTAAACTCTACCTGTGCTTTGAAATACAACATGAAAAACACATTCTGTGGAAAATTTAAGCTTCTGCATTATATTGGAGACTATGAATTTCACTGATAAGTAGACATTTTATAGTTTATATTTTTAAGATCTATTAAAATGTACACGTTTCAGGATGATCTTTATTTAAATCTCTCACTGACACTGAGTTGAAGATGACTCATAGCTGACCCTTCAGCAGCATTTGAAAGGCTGTAAGTCTCATGGAAGGAGATTGCCCATCTTTTCTCCTGCAGAGCTACAGGCGGTTTTGAACTGAGAGGGGCTACTTTTGAGTTAGTCAGCCCTACTCCCTACTGACTAGGTCACCAGAGTGCCCTTATTTAAATATAGGGGTAGATAATAGAAGAGAGGACACGAAGAAAGAACAAAAAAGAAAGAGAGCTTGAGGATGCAAAGACATAGATCTAGATGGTTGCAAAGGTATGACACAACTCTGTGAAAGTACTCACCCCACATCTGGTTAATGCAGATAGGAAATGCAGTGCTGGATTTCTCCTGACTGGCCTGCTTGAGTTATAAAGCTGTGTGAACTAGCTGAGCCCACAAAGTCTGCCCACCTTTAATACTCTCGGATCTATGATTCAGGCTAGAACACTGAACAACAAGGACTAGAGGAAATAATTTTTCAGGAGACAGTGTCGTCTAGCTTTACCTGCCCATTCAGAAAGAGAGGCCACTTAGCACCTCCTCCCATATCATACTTTGCAATCAGTCCCTATAATTGAACAATCCTTAGCAGATACTGAGAACTTCAGAACTAGAGAATATAATTGAAGCAGTAACCTCTCCATCATTCATCAATCATACTCTGACCAGTTTTAGCTCCCAGGTAACTTCTCATGAAGATAATTACACCATGGGATGTTCTTCATGAACAAAAATTCCTCTCCAAGCTACAGATCTTTTTCTTTCCTTTTATAAAATGAACAGAACTTATTAATTCTTCCATATTAACACTTTAAAAGACAATGTCCATTCATCTTCTGTTCTGATCAGCTAGCTCTTTCTGTGATGAAACTTTTTAAAAGGATTTGGGATTTTTCTTTCAGCTGTCCATTTCAGGCTCAATTTATCTAATGTGATGTGAAGAGACGGTTAATTGATCATCAAAATTAGGGCTGGTCCAGACAATACTTAGAAAAACGTAGAGATTCTTTTGTTCATAAATGATTGCAATAAATAGATACTTATTTCCAAGCTGTTGTGTGCTTTCAAGTTGATTGTGACCTTTATAAAACTCAAACTCAGTGCTGTCAATGATTCATAGTTGACCTTCCATTGAGTTTTCCCCCTATGGAAAAAAACTGTTCATCTTTCTCCTGGAAAGACACTGGTGGATTTGAACTGGCAGAGGGATGCTGCGTTTGGGTCAGCACTGCAAGTTCCTGTGGATTACACCTCCAGTAATCCCTTACAGAGCAGAAGATAATGCACATAGGGTATCTCAGGCTGACCCTCCCCTCTCCCCCAGGAGCAGATCAACAGGTCCTTACTAACCCAGAACCACTGATAAACTCAAGCCACATACCTTTCTGTTAACAGCAGTGTTTTAACCATTATGCCATCTGAGTTCCCAGTTAATAGACTGAAGATATCTTCAGTTCATTTACTCAGCAAATACTTGTTTAGTATCTACTATCTTGTAGACACTATACTAGGTGCTGGAAAAAGTAGAATCACGGGAATGATTTGATTGATATTCTGTTACATATGACTGTAGACTTGGAATCTAACCAGGAAGTCCAAAGTGAACTTTTAGCTTCTAGCTTTGTCCTTTGCATGTTTTCAGTGACAGCTCAGTAGCAAACCATAAAATCAGAACTGCTCAAAAAAATGATCATTTCAGTTCACCATGTAGACAAAAGCTGCACGCTAGAGGATTACATGTACAAGAACTTTTTTTTTTTTAGTGAATTGGGCCCTATTTCCCTTCCTTCCTTGTCTTCTGTATTGCTTTTAGTGTCTCTTCTTTGTGTCTAATTCGACTGTGGTGATTAATAGGTTAGAGTAGTTTGAAGGGTCTCTAACCTCTCAAATCACAATTGTTTGTAGATTCAGAGAAACAATATGATGCATACAAAAGTTGACTTTTAAAATTATCTTCAAATTTTATAGCTCCATTGAGTAAAATATGGGACTAGCAGAGTAATATTTTAAGTTCCAAAGCTGTTAACATACAATACCATATTCTCCAAAAAATTATTTTTGTAGCATTATTTTGGTTACAAAGTCTCTTTGGGAATGCATAAAATTAAGACTGCCATTAAAATCAGGTTATAAGAAGAAGTGCAAGTGGTTTCCTTTTAACATTTTTTAAGCTTGGAGAGGTAATAATACACAGCTTTGATGACTGATTTCAAAGTAAGGGCTGCTGCTTAATGGAGCTTACACCTGGTGGTTCTGAAAGTTTTGAGAATCAGGCGTTGCCTTCTCCAACTGTTTAATTCACCATTGAGACATGTTCCCTATCCTCAAGCATAAGTTTAAAAGATTACAAGCTTCATGCTGCTCGACTTTTTTCTCCACGCTGAATCAGATGCATGGTTTCTCTAGATTTACATATAAAAAAATAAAGATGTGGTGGGTATTAGACTAACACTTCAGTGGTACAGAGGAAGAGGCTGATTTCTCACATTTGTGTAAAACATTTCCCTACCTAACTACCATCTGGTCCACATTCATTTCCTTTCGTAGCCATTGCTTTCCATTACCAGTGAGTTTTCCATGTATTTGCAGCATATGGTCCAAGAAATCTTTCTACAGAGAATGTGTCCCTTAGGCATATATTTCCCCTAGATTACCGTATTAAGAAATGTTCTCCCTAAACCATACTTATGGCATCAACATAAAATTGCCCCTTGAACACAGTAAAATGGGAAATGCTAAAAATGCATAACAACTCAGGTAAAAGAAATTCTTGCTACTTGGAGAGATTTTTTTTGGGGGGGGGTGTCTTTCTTTTTTCTTTCTCACTCCCTACAAAGCTGTTGCTAATTGTTTGCTTACCCTGGGTGCTGAATTCTCTCTAGACCATATGTTTCATTAGAGCAGTCTTGATCTCAGGTTTGAAAAATACATGCTATGTTTTAGACCTCAGATAAGCAAAAAGGATGTAAAGGGAATTTCTGAATTTCCATTACTCAGGCTCATTTCCCTCCTTCTCTTATCTGTATTTTGAGATGAGTTGTGAGATCTCAAAATTTAAAAACAAAAAGTCTAGCTCCAAAGCTCTTTCCTGAGTTTTCAATGAAAGTTCTTCTAGCAGTTGCAGATGAACCAAACAATTTGCAACAAAAGGATGTTTGAAGCTTTATGAGGGCCATCCCTGGTTCACAAAAAAAAAAAGAAATAAAATAAAATAAAATAAAATAAACAACACAGGTTTTTATACATGTAACCAAAGGAATCTTTGGCTTACCTTTTTCTTACTATCCAAATTTTAAGAAGCTAAGTGATCTTTTTTTTAACATCTTTTTTTTTTATGTCTGCAATTCATAGTTGCAAAATCTCCTGCAAGTCCATCTTCCAATAACAGTTTTAAAAGAGTACAATGCAATGCATTTATCATCATAAGAAATCTTTCTGCTGGCCTTTATTGTTGCTACCATGTACCTGGTGATTGCACCCTGGCACAGAAGCAGTTTGGCATTATTGTGAACCTATCCGATTTTCTACCAAAGGCACCAGTAACAGGGTCATACTGATTGGTCTGATGTCTTTTTAAAAATCCAGGAGATAGCTTTAGAAACATTAATTTGGCAGAAATTTTACTTTAATGTCAATACCGAGTTCCATTTCATTTCCATCAAAGAGAACAAAAGGGGCTTCCAGATATCATCCTGAGAACTTAGATCAAAGCAGCTGATAGAATCTGCATTTAACTTTGCAGAAGATGGAAAGGCAAGTTGAAGAATGGAGTCGCAGGAAATCCCCAGAGCTGCTGCCTTAACTTCAGTGTAAACATCCGTCTTCAGTAGTTCTGGAAGGTTGCTCTGGGTCTCTGAAAGCCATCTCATCTGAATCTTCTCTGTCAATAATTTTGATGTCTCAAAAACCTCTCCCGAGATCCAGTTGAGTCATAAAATAACTGTTGTTGTTGCTGTTAGGTGCCATCGAGTCAGTTTTTACTCATAGCAACATTATGAACAATATATCTGAACCATGCAGACTGCCTTTCATTAGATACAATTTAGAAGGCACAGCCACACCAATCTTGTAACAGTGAGGCCTCCATCTCAGTGCAAAGGCTTGTGGAGTTGATGCCGAAGACTGGAAGTAATATGCAAACATACATGAGGGGCGTTTGGGCCAACTGAACTGTTTATGATGGGACAGCAGGTCATCCAGTGCTATGAACCTGTGCTGGTTGGTCATGTACAGTGCCCCCATAGTGGGCCTGTTCTGCCTTTAGTGTTGCAGGACACCAGCAGAGAACAGCACCATTTTTTGTTCACCTTCTATGTGTCAGACACATGTGCTTTCATACATTATTTTGTACTCCCATCCATACTGGGAGGTAAGTATCATAATTCTCATTTTGTACAGTAGGAACCCTCAGGCCCATTGAGGTTCAGTGATTCCCCTAGGCTCACCTGGTGAGAAACAGAGACAGGCTCTGGCCTGGAACACTCCCCTGAATCACCTGCTAAGTCCAGTCACTTCTAGGGTGAACCTGCAGACTGTTGTCCAGCTTGAGTGCTGCTCTCCTAGCTTCTGATGGAAAGAACTGTGCTGTGAGTCTCTCCAGTGATGTTTCCCTAACTGTATTTGTAATGAAAACAGGGCACTCCAGTTCCCTCTTGCCCAGCACCACTACGTCAGACTCCATGGCTCAAGAGGGGTATAAGTCTGAGGGAGGAAAGCTGGACTCGAAGGACTGGCTCCATTCATTTGACAGCACAGACCCATCGGGGGCAGTGTCTTCCCATAATCACCAAGACAAGAAGGGTAAGGCCTTGGAAGCACCTCTTCCTCTGGGGGAGAGGGAGGGAAAAGAGGGGAGGACTATGTAACTGCTTCCAGCTGAATCAGGTAGGAACCACCAGTGCACACCGACAGTGTAACAGAACAGAGCGAGGTGCAAGGCGCTGTGCTAGGCCTGATCCTCACGGGCTCCCTGACTGGGGAGGAGCCACACAAAACAAATAACACATCATAAGCTTCCTCCACCCACAAGATGTGTGGCTTGGCGCAAAGTAGCTTCTGGCTCCTGTGATCCCTTTCCACCCATCTTAGCCTCATTCTGTGATTTGGGGCCTGTTTTCCCACCATCATGTAATGGAACACAGTGGGGGCTTTGGCACGTGAATCTAATCTAAGTAAAGGCCCTTTAATTGGTGAATTGAGAAATAGCAGGGCAAAGTCTTTTCTGGCTAGTAGCATCTCTCCCTCTTGCCTGGTGCTGAATTTGAATAGAGCCGAGGTCCTCAGACATAACTGTATAATTGCCCGAAGAGGACAAGAGCTAAAACAAAAATATGTTATTTAATCAAGCAGAATTGCTATGCATTTAAAACGGAAAGGAAGCCACACTAAATGAAAGGGACTCTACTGTGAACTGTCCTAAATTCTCCCTTGCTTTCTTTGCTTAACTAGAGACAGGAAATGTCATCTCCTTTCTCGCCCTTTGCTGCTTCTAGTAACACATCCTACTTTAGTTGCAGCTGCAACCAAAGAGGCCTTTACTTGTCCAGGAAACAGTCTTGTAAATCAGAGACTGAAAAGACCAGTTATGTTACTGAGCTGTTTCCCCCCCAATTCAGAATTGTTTACTTTTATATGTTTTCAAGAGTTTCTTCCAACCAAGGTTTTGAGTCTCAAGGGCACAGTGACTCTTAGCTTCTGGCTCCTCCTCCTCCTGGCTTCTACCTTCATCATCCTTACCCACATATGCATTTCCAGCTTTCCTTCTATAGGGTCTGAATGTCCATCCTCTCTGTTGCTCTTCATCCCAAGAAAGCTGTGCTTCCCAAGCCAAAATGTCAGCCTTTATCCCCTTTTGTCTTATTCTTCGGTGTCTCCAGTGGCACAGTCAACCATTTGTTCACTAACCAAAAGGCCAGCAATTCAGAGCCCCCTAGGCACACCTCCAGTAAAAGGCCTGTCAGTCGGCTTTAAAAAAAAAAGAAAAGAAAAGAAAAGCCTTCTGGACACTATAGTGTTTAGTTCTGTTCTGTAACTCATGATTTGGGAATGACTCACTCCGTAGCAACTGGTTTGGAGAGGACCTTGTTCTTGAGCATGTCCCCTTAGTCAATTGCACTATTCTTCTGCAGGCTTCATTAGTATATACTGCTCCAAGTCTTTAAAAAAAGGGGAGAGAAGGCACGAGAGTGTAATGACTTCTCAATCCCTTTAAGGTGAAGGGTCCCTCGAACTGAAGCTGTCCTGAGAAAGCACTAGACTGATGTGTAATGGACCAGAGAAACCATCCTTAGAATGCGCCATTATTTGTTATGTGTGGCTCCAGACCTCAGATGTGTTAGTCTTGGCTGGTTTCTCAAGAAGAGACAGCTCAGTACAACTCCTGTGTGTTTGCACACAGTGACTTTCTGGGGGAGGGGAGCAAACAACAAAAAAAGCAACAGAAGCCAGCCTTTCCAGTAAAGCATTAAACATGTCATCCAGATTTCTTGCTGTTGGTTGCAGTAATTTACTCCTCACGTCACTGATGGGGCATCCTGAATTGTCACCAATAATTAACTCTCCCAAGGAATGGGGGTTATCAGAGAATCCAATTAACACTTTGACTGATCATTTTAAAATTCAACATTGTTCATTCTCCTGGGACCTATTATGAATATTGACAAAGCTGGAAGCAGTCTACATATTGTCAGACAATGGTGGCAGAGGTGATTGCATGGGTGTTTAACATGTTCACTGTTCCTGTGCTATTAACTCCTTGCCTTGCCCCATCAAATGTGGGTTTGATTGGTGACAAATGATTATGTGCTTTGATGGGGCAATGCCAATGAGTTTTTATGCAGAAATGAAAAAAATGTAGCTTAATGTTCCTTTTACCATGATTTTTTATGATTTTGATTTCCATTTGCTATGAATTGTTTTTATTTTCAATGTTCATGATTTATTTCAAACTTTTGTTTTGTTTTGCCAAGCACTGTGTGGTATGGCTTGGCAACCGTGTTAATCCTTTGGAAAAGTCTCGTTTCTTTTCTGACTCATTATGATGTTCCTGGACTTGAATCGATATGTGGTCCTGTTGCTTCTTTCCATTCCCTAATGTTGGTGCCTTGATGATGTCACATCCGTGTGTGCAGCTTCTCCTGGGATGTGAGAGTTCCCTGGGTTTTCTGAGGGCCTCCGACTGGTGCGCTTTTTCGATTGTCTCATGGGAATGTGACATTTGTGTGCCCCAGCTTTTAGAGCTAAATATACTCTGGAATTGTTTCAAAATACCTCACATTTCTCTGCTAAGCAGAAAATGCGTCCACTGACCAGCTGAGGAGGAGTCAAGTGCTGGGTGCCCTTTTTATTTTGGCTGCTGAAAAAGGGCCAAACAAACCCAACGGTTCTTCAGATGGCTGAGCGCCACTGTGGCCTCTGGCCCCACACTCTGACCCACCAAAACCCCCTGCTGAGCAATTCCACATTTCCAGAGTATGTTTGCTTGTCTTTTTCTTTTCCTTGCTGTGTCTTTCCTATTGATTTGATCCTGTGCGTCCCTCACATTCTGTCACAGCACCGTCCCTCACCTGGCAGTCTAACCCCCCTTCTGCTACCATTGTTCTTAGCCTCCCCCTTTCAAAATAATAGACCCAGGCCCTCTGCCCCTGTGTGGAATGTTCCAAGGCTCTTCCCTGTACATTGTGAGTAGCGTTAGAATGCCATATGTACACATACTCATACTAACAAAGCGCCAGAAGAGACCTGCCAAGCACGCAGAAGCATTATCACAGAAAATGAAGTAATTTTCTCTCTCAGTAACTGGCCTTGCCCTTCATTACCCTGCTGGCCTTGTCTAATGTCTCTTGTCCTTGCTGCTTTTCTTTAAAATTGCCTGATATCTTTCAAGCCCTAGATTCATTAGTACAAACACAGCCAACTGCTCTGTTTTATCTCTTGGTCCCTAGATGTCTGGAGCCTCTCGAGCCAGCCCTTTAATCACCAAGTTGATAAATTGGATGCAGCCCTAGTTACTTCTTTGTTGGTTTTGCCACATTTAAAAATATATATTATTTATTCATCCTATAACTATTGAGGTGGTAATGGGTAGTTACAAAGAGGCTTTAATTGCAGATGAATAAGAAAGAAAATCCAACTTATTTTTAGATCTGGCTTCCCCCTTTTACCCCCCCCCCCCAATTCACTCCACGGCAAGAGAAATAAGCACTTTCTTTTTTAGGATAAGCAGTGCTGAGAACAAATAGCCACTTCTGTACCTCCTGTTTCTTACTACAAGTAACAATGGTATAAGACCTAGTTTTCAACAAGACGGCAAGATAAGAGAGAATTAGCCAGGTTCAGATCTGGTTCAGAACAGAGAGTTGTGTAACATAAATATAAAACATAAGCACTGATGGCCGCTGTTAAGACACAAGAATAACTTTTGAGAGGAAGAAAACCTCTTCTTAATTCAAACTTTGTTATGTACAGTTCTTGTGAGCTCCCTGAAAAAAAAGATGAAATAGTCAATATAGTGAAAGAGATCTTTATTGTAAACTCATGTATGTATTGACTGTAAATGCTAAAACCATAGTATATTTGTGTTACTGTTGTTAGGTGCTGTCGCATCACTAAGACTCATAGCAACCCTATGAATATTAGCTCTGAACCTGCCCTATCCTGACCCAACCTGTCTCTGACACACCTACCCACATTGCCATACAGTCACTATGTCACTCCATCTCATCCAAGATAGTCTGGGAAATCGTTAAAAGTAAGCTATTATCACATTGGAAACACTATGAACTTGGCGAAATGATGATAATTATAGAAAGGCTTCAGGCCTTTTGTTCATAGGGTCGCTATGAATAGTGCTCAACTTGACGGCAAAAAACAACAACATTATCACATTATTATATTTAGTAAAAAAAAATACGCTCACTGCAGAGAAGAAAAAGATGGAAGATAATGCAAGTTACAGGCCAAATGAATAATTTTAAACAATTTGGGAAATGCTGAATATATTTTAATCAATGTACAAGTTATTTGTAAAGTAACTTTTACTGTAGGAAGATAATATATTCCACTAACAATCTGAAAATCTAAAAGATAATTAATACACCGTTACATCACAACACAAGGCTAAGAGGAATTTCATGAATCACAAAGTTTATCAACAATCCTCTTTATAATCAATTATTTATTCAGAAAGTATACTATAGCCTACAACAGTATTGCCACCAACTGACATATTTACCAATTTACATAGAATGATTTGGGAACATTATGACCTTTAATAATACTGAGTCATGTGGTGGGAAATGATACCATTTTCATATATATTTTATCCTTCTTGGTTATGTCAAAGAAAAATTCTGAGTCGAGTGCTTCATCATTACCATTTCCCTGAAACTGCTTCTATTCCTTTTAGACACAACATAGGCTTTCCACTGGGGGCATTGCTGTGCAGCTGTACCTAGCTAAAATTTAGCATTGCTTTGTTTTTGGTGAATTTTATTTTTATGGTTATTGTCTATCCATGAAAAGTAATGATTTCTTTCCATTTTTGATAAGGACATAATACAAAATTCATTACTCTCTTTCCATCAACTGTAGTAACCCCATGAATGATAACCCCTTTTTCATGGGAGTTTTGGGTTTTGGGGTGTTTTTTTTTTACTGTAATTTTTACAGAAAACTCTCAGACCTTTCTTCCTGGAAGCCACCAGTGGATTCAGGTCACCTGCTTTGATGCTAGCATGTGTCCCATGTTAAAAGTATAAAACTGGTAGTTCAGCGGCTAAAATCTGGGTAAGCCTGGCCTA